GGAAAGAAGGAGGGAGAAAAGGACGATAGATGTTTGATAGGAAAGAAGGAGGGAGAAAAGGACGATAGATGTTTGATAGGAAAGAAGGAGGGAGAAAAGGACGATAGATGTTTGATAGGAAAGAAAAAGCAAACAACACCACAGCACCCACCAACTATCCAAGGTTTAATTTTAGAAAGAGTTTCACGGCTCTTACAACACAATTAAGTCACGTAAGAGCACAAGCCGATCGCGCCCGACTCGTCGCTTTAAAAACATATACGCTTGTTTCCCGGCGACGAGTCGGGCAGTCGACCAGACCCGACCCGACCGACCCAACCCGACCCGACCCCATCCTCAATGGACACCCGGTATAATCACTAGATCTACATCACAAATCCTTGTAGAAACACGAGGTTCGTCGTGCAGTATTCAGACAAGATCAACTTTGAACTGGGAGAAATTTATTATTGAACAGGTGGTGAGAAATTAAAGAAGAGTTTGAATGTTTTTGTTTAATAAAGTTTACAGCGCTCGCAACTGCATAAGGTCATAAGAGCGCCAAGGGGTGGATGTCAACAGAGCAATCCAAACGGGGAATCACGTTTACTCTGTTCACCTCTCTAGCCTCAACTGCACAAAGTCTGCTTCCACTATTATAGTATCAAGGCACCCCGGAAATAGCAGTTCACAAGAGAGAGACAAACATACAAAAGAAAGAAAGTAATGAAGGAGGACCTACCAGTGGCGCCCTCCAACCACCCGCTTTGAAGAAGAATAAAAGGGAAACAAATATAATATAGAAAATGAAGGGCGGCACAGTGAAACGGCGTGAAAAAAAGAGGAGGAGGATGAGGATAATGAGGCGCAGGAGAAGGAGGAGGAGGAGGAAGAGGAGAAGCAGTGGGAGGAGTAGGAGGACAAGGAGAAGAGAGAGTGGGAAGAAGATAGCAAGAGGACAAGGAAAACGCGATAGTTGTGATGGTGCGGAATAAACAAAGATGAAGGCGATGTTGCGGATTAATAAAAGCTTTCATCAGTAAACCTCGGTCTCCAGTGAGTGGGCGTCAGTGGTCTAGTAGTTAGGCTACCGGACCCGTGATAGTAAAACTGCGGGTTCGGAGGTTCGAGCCTCAGCTTAGCCCTGTGTTGTGTCTTTGGGAAATGCACTTTACACGAATTCCCCTTTTAGCTAGGTCCTTTCGGAGATGGACTTTAAAATCGGAGGTCCCACCTCTTAAATAACCTAATAGAGTTGATAGGGACGTTAAATCTGTACCATTTTCCGCCCTCTTCTCTCTCTCTCTCTCTCTCTCTCCCTCTCTCTCTCTCTCTCTCTCTCTCTCTCTCCCCTCTCTCCCCACCCCACCCCAAACAACAACAACAACAACAACAACAACAACAACAACAACAAAAACAACAACAACAACAACAACAAACGAAAATAAAACACCAACAATATATCAACATGTACATTTACCAGTTGAAGAAGACGATGCAGGTTCTGATGACGAGTACCCGGTGAGTGAACAGCCCCCACACCTTGGCCTGGGGTCCCTCGTCTGCTGTGCTCGAGTCTACCGCTCCCAGCGGAAGCTTCGTCTTGTTGGAGCTGCAGATCTTCTCCAGAATTTTCTCCGTCTCTTTGTATTTTTTCTTTTCGAGAAGCCAGCGTGGAGACTCTGGGATGAGCCTGACGAGACAGTCGGAGGAATTAGACACGTAGGCTACTTTCAGTAAGTGTCAATTTATTATTCTATTTGAGGTTTTCATAAACTCAAGTTTAACAACAAATTCGTTTCGTGTAAGAGATCTACGAAAACTATTTCTGGAATATCTGGAACTTTGAAACTCACGAGGTTATCATTCTCGGAGATTTGACTGAAGAATTTGCGGAACATATCATTTATCATGTCTGCAGAATTATTATGTCGTGTACCTTTCCCACATGGATTGTTGCGCAGTGCAACGTGGGCAGCACGGTCAAGACGTTGCGTCTTACAGCTCCTTCATTTTTTAAAAATGTTCTCTCTCAACCCTCATCCAAGGCGTTCCATACGAGCTCAACCTTCACCCAAGGCGTTCCACACGAGATGGTTTACCACTACCCCATAAAACAAAGCAAATGCATCAACAGATTACAAACGAGAAATCACTTTATCCTCAGTCAGGGGAAAACAGTTACATGGAGCGGCGGTTGGGGGTTTGGGAGGGGGGTGGGGGTGTTTTCGTTTTACTTAACAACCCTGGTAGGCCTGCATGATTAACTCAGGCCATGATCATGTTATCGAGGCACCGCTACTCTCACTACTCACCACCACAGAGAAAACAAGGGCACGGTGCACAGGCAGAGCACGAGCTGAATTTCCCGCCAGTCTCGAGAGATGTAGGCCACCGGAAGTATCAGGAGCACGCCTATTGTCCACATGACCTCCACCATCATGCCCGTGAACGTTCGCTTACTGGGCCCGACCAGCTCGATCCCTGTACACAGATACCGGAATGATGATGACAATAACAATAATTTTAAAAAATAAATAAAAATAAAATAATAATAATATTAATAATAATGATCATGATGGTGATAATAATAACAATAAAAATAAC